GGTAAGAAAAAGGCATACTGCACTTGAAAAAATCATTAGTGCTTTCTTTATAATGATTGGGAGCATGTTAGGGGTGTCACACCTGAACGATGTGTCCCTACCCACTTCCAGACTGTAGGTTGTAATGTATCCATTGTTTGCATTGTTTGCTATTTGTTGTGATTTCTTCTTGCGTCTAACATTTTCGTTCATGCAGTGACGCGAGACACCATCAAATTGTCTGAATGGGAGCTGGCTGATGTAGAGAAGGTGTTAAGGGTGCCTAAGGAGGATAGACATTTGGGCAAGCTAAGGCCTTTGTTTTGAAAGTACGGTAAGTAAGTTGTATCTTTCATTTCGCCCCCTAAGGAGTGCCAGAGACGAGCAAGTAAGTTGTATCTTTCATTTCGCCCCTTTTTTCTTGTACGAAGTTGCATTCCTTACTTTGATTTTTTCTTGTTTATTGGAGAAAATGAGCAAGAAAAGAGGGACTAGCACCAAGAAAGGGAAAACACCCATGTTAGCTCCCGTAAATGACATTTTGTTTCACAAGGGAGCTCGTAAGCACCGGATGAGGCCAACCTCTAGACCTAAGTCGCAAAAGGAGGTCTTCATGATTACTGTCTCAAAAAAGGCTGAAGCTGAGGCCATCGGGTGTATTGCTGTCATAGTTGCAGGGGAGGAAAGACGATTGTTGCCTCCTCTTCCTACCATCAATCCCATCTTTCCTCCAGCCATATAGTCTATTAACCAAAAAGATGATCTTAGCTCCAGCCTTAAGAGGAAGTGTAAGGGAGAGGTTGGCAGCATCTATTGGAAGGATTTGAAGGTTGTCATGCAACCAAGTAGTTTTAGGTATGTTAATAATTGCCTGGCAAGACGCCGATCCACTATTGACAAGCTTGGCAAGCCGCTAGATGAGAATGAATCAGATCGTGATCGGATGATGATGTTATCTTCTTATGTAAGTGTTACTCTGTCATTTCTTTACTTTCTCCCATCTTTTTCCTAGCAGTGACGATCATCTTGTCATGTAGGTCATGACCGAGTACGATGACAGACTACGAGAGGTCGAGCGGTACAAGGCAAAGTTTAAAGAGAACAAGCAGCTTATGAATGGCGCCAGAAAAATGAGCAAAGCTTTGGTTGAGGCCATCTGCCTTAAGGATCAAAACTTTGAGAGTTTAAAGAGGTGGAATGGTGAGAACGTGGGGCTCAAGAAACAATTGGAAACGACTGAGAAACAGTTGGAGACAACTATCCTCGAAGTTTCCAAGGTTAAAGGAGAGTTGGATAATGCCTTAGTTGAGGTTTCCGGGTTGAAAAGGATTATCCCAACTGAGAAGAACGATGTCGTGTAGGAGTTCTTAGGTTCCCAGGCCTTTCATGATGCCTTTAGACCTTACTACATCCGAGCGGGTTGAAAAAAGGAAATGGATGGCCATCCTTGAATGTTACGATAATGAAAGCATAATCTGAAGGTACCATGATGAGATGGATGAGTACCAACAAAAAGGTGAAGCCTTCGTCCTCGCAATTGATCCTAGTAGTGAGGATGACTCCGATAATAAGGTTAGTGTTGGTGAGCAGTCTTAGGAGAGTGACGATGGTTTTGGAGATGCCGAGGATGGTGGTGATGGTGATGGGGTTGAAACACAGAGTGATATTGTCAAGGGTTCGGGCTCAGATGAGGATGACTCATAGTGCCATCTTTTTCTACATGTACTCTGAATGTACTAGTTTGTTGTTTGTGTGGCATATGCCATGTTGTAAGCCTGAGGGTTTTTTGCTTATGTATGTTTACGACCTTGTGTTGTGTGTTTTGATGTTAATTGCCGAGTATTTGTACTATCATTGATGAATGTTTGGCTATGTTTAAATAGATCATTTGTTTAGATATAAGCCCTGACTTGGGTATGATTGAACGAATCTATTGGAGTTGTTCGTTTATTTGTATAGTCTTGTTGACATATACTTAGACTTTATTTCATGTTGGAAGCATTCGTGTTGAAGCTTCAAACTTGAGTGTTTAAGTGATAGGGATGTAAAGGAGTTATGACCAAGTTGTCTAAATCACCTCTTTATTGAATTGATGCTAAATAGCCTTCATTACATAGGATGTCAAATGGCCGTAGCTCAACACTTGTACAGTGTGAGTTTGTAATAGTACTTCAAGTGATCAGCGTTCCATAGATGGCCAATGGTCTTGTCATCAGAGCTTCTGAGCTTGTAGGAACCAGGGCGACTGATGCCAATAACTTCAAATGGTCCATCCAAATTTGGGTTGAGCATGCATTCGCTCAGGACTCTATTACAGAATAGTCTTTTCTTCAATACCCCCTCACTTTGAAAGAGCGAGGTTTGACTCTTGAGTCGTAGTAGTTGGAGATGCACTGCATATAGGCGACATTCCTCAAGTGAGCCCGGTTTCCGTGTTCCTCGACTAGATATAAGTTGAGGGTAAGTTGTTTGTCATTTTCACTTTGCCTGTAGTTCTGGACTCGGAACGTTGCTTGCTTAAGCTCAACTGGGACAACGACCTTTATACCAAAGGTAAGTGAGAATGAATTTTTTCCTGTTGAAGTCCGATATGAAGTGCAGTATGATCAAAGAACTTGGGGTACAAATTTTGGCTAACAGCCTTTAGCCTTATCCAAGCTGGTTTTCAAAGTGCGTTATATTATTCTGTTGATGGCCTTAACTTGTCCATTAGACTGGGGATAAGCTGGGGAGCCGAAACATAAGTTGATGTTGAACTTAGAGCAGAACCTCCTGAACTTCTTATTGTTGAACTGTCGTTCATTGTCAGTGATTATCGCATTGGAAATGTTGAATCTCCAAAGGATGTTCTTCCATACGAAGTCTTCTATTTTTGCCTTGGTAATAGTTGCCAAGGGTTCTACTTCAGCCCACTTTGTGCAATAGTCAACTGCAACGATTGCATAACGGACCTTGCCTTTCCCTGCAGGCATTGGGCTGATCAAATCAAGTCCCCATTGGGCGAAGGGCCAAGGGCTGATCATAGGAGTAAGAGGCTTGGGAGTGGAGTGATGAATAGTTGCATAGCGTTAACACTTATCACATGAGTGGGATATTCTGATGACATCTTGGTGGAGTATTGGCCAGTAATATCTTTGGCGAAAAGCCTTATATGCTAGGGATCAAGATCCAGCATGATCTCCACAGACTCATTCATGTATTTCCCGAAAGACAATTTCTGCTTCCGCAAGTATGAGGCATCATAAGTATGGTAGGTTAAAACCTTGCTTGTAGAGTTGGTCATTAATGATCAGGTAGTGGGTAGACTTGTATCGAAGCTGCTTAGCTTGGACTTTATCATTTGGGAGGGTGCCATAAGCAAAGAATTTATAAATCAGGGTGATCCAACTATCCTCCTGTTGTAAGTTACACATTTTTGCGACCATGGTGCTTGGTGCTGCCAACAATTTGACATGAATTTTTCTCCCAACATTGTCTTCCACTGTTGAGGCTAGGCGAGCCAAACTGTCTGCATGACTGTTTGCCACTCAAGGGACTTGGGTGATCTGGTAGTGAAAGTGCTTGAGCAAAAGCTGCATTTGCGCAATATACGCTGTCATGGAGTTATCCTTAGTGTTAAAGTTGTTCGTGACCTAGTTAACCACCAATTAGGAGTCGCTGAAGATTTCAATTTGTTAAACTCCAAGGTGTTTAGCCAAACATAAGCTTGCTAAAAAGGCTTCATATTCGGCCTCATTGTTTGACGCCTTAAATTTGAAGTGAAGAGCGTACTCCATTGCCACTTTGTCAGGGGTAGTCAGGACTAGTTCTGCTCCACAACCCTGTTGGTCGGATAAGCCATCAACATATAAAGTACATACTGGGAGTGTTGGTTCTAGCTTCCGAACTTCCGGGGGTAATGAAGCCACTGCCTTAGGTGTAGGAGAAATGTCAACAGGATAAGTGAATTCGGCGATGAAATCTGTAACTTCTTAGCCCTTATCAGCTAGCTTTAGGTGGTATGAGATGTCAAACGCACCCAGTGCTATCGCCCATTTAATCATTCGCCTCGAAGTGTCAAGACTCTGAAGTATTTGTCGAATGAGGTGATTGGTAAGCACGATGATGGAGTGTGCTTAGAAGTAGGGCCCAAGTTTCCAAGCAGACATGACTAATGCTAGAGCTAATTTCTCATTATTGGAGTATCGTGTCTCTGCATCTTGTAGAGCCTTGCTAGTGTAGTAGACAGGTCGTTCGATACTACCATCTATTCGAATGAGGACGAAACTAACTGCTGAAGTCGAGACAGACAGATACACAATCAGGGTGTCACCAACTTCAGGTTTAGAAAGCAGAGGGGCTTTACTCATGTACTCCTTGAGGTTCTTAAATGCTTCAACACATTTATTAGTCCACGCAATGTACTACTTCCCTTAAGTGCTTTGAAAAAATGAGCGCATTTGTCTGTGGCCTTATAGATGAACCTGGTCAAGGCTATCACCTTGTTAGTAAGGCTCTGGATGTCTTTTGAAGTTACTGGTTATTTCATGTCATGATTGCTTTGATCTTCTGGGGGTTAGCTTCAGACGTCTGTGGTAAGGGCAGTAATTTAGATTGTCTGTCATGTCTGCCTGTTCAAGGATGGTGATTGGGGGAAATTCTAGTTCGCCGAATGCGCATTTGTTGGGGTTCAACCTCATTCGATACTTCTTCAAGATGAAGAAGGTTTCAGACAGGTTGGTGATGTATTGGTCAGCATGTTTGCTTTTGACTAACATATCATCAACATAAACTTCCATGCTCTTCCCAATCTGTTCAGCGAACATTGAATTGACTAACCTTTGATAAGTCACCCCTGCATTCTGTAGGCCGAATGGCATGACTTTATAGCAATATAGTCCTCTGTCAGTAGTGAAGCCATGTGTTCTTGGCTGATTATCTTCACCAACATACAAATCCACAGTTGAATAGTTTAAAATACAAGAAATAAAGACACCGAGAAATTTACGAGGTTCGGCAAAAACCTGCCTACGTCCTCGGAAAGATATTGCTCTTCACTATGAAAAAAACAGTACAAGTTACACATGAGTTAAATCGACATAACCCAATCCCATATCCCTTGTACACCCACTCACAGAATTTTCCCAAGAGCCTCACTCTACCCCAAGAATTCTTTCACAAGAGACCTTTCACTATAGCTCTCTTGATTTCTCTCTGCAACTCTCTCTCTCACCATAAGGCATAACAAATGCCTTAATATATAATGTTCAACATTTCTCATGGGAGAGCCGAATGCTCTCCCCTTGGATGCTTCTTTATGCTTTCTCATCATGATGCTTCCTCATCATGATGTTCCTTCATTATTTTCTTATTTCTTGCTTTCGGCTTCTTTAACAAATGCTGCCAATTAAAACAATAGGAAAACCACCCCGTGGCTTTCACATGGACCAAATAATTATGGCTTTGAAAAAGCCACAAAACAAGGAACAATAATTCTCATCATGATGTTCCCTAGCCTAATTTGGCCACTATCCAACAATATATTCAACCATAGTACGGAATCGCAACTGCTTTAAGAGGGTACTTGCTATGTATGGTTGAACCAGTAGATTCAGTCATGTCTACGTGCTCTTCTACTATTGCACCTACAGGAAATTCCCAGTCGAACTTGGGCACTAAATTCGCCAAAGCAATTTCTTTGATAGCCAAGGCATACTGAACTCCTGGGTATCCACGTCTGCCAGCCCCAAATGGAATGAATTGGAACTCATTTGCTTTATAATCTATGGCTTTATCCAAGAACCTTTCTGGCTCATAATCATCTGGTTTGTCGTACGAATTGGGATCTCTTCCAATTTTTCAAGCATTCACCATAACTTGTGTGTTGGCCTTAATGTCATAGCCGTTTACTTTCGCATCTTTAACATCCTAGGCAACAGCAGCGGAACCGGAGGGTGTAGGCGAAGAGTCTCCTGGATCACTGCTTTCAAGTAATGCATTTCGACCAAATCATCCTCCATAATTATGTCTGTTTTGTTGCAGATTATTTTCCTCCATAATTATGTCTGTTTTGTTGCAGATTATTTTCCTTACCTCGTTCTGCAATTTTTTCATGCCATTGGATTTCTTACAAGCTCAAACATCGCCCACTCTAGGACTCTGGATGTGATATCAGTGCCCGCAGCAAACATGTCCTATAAGAGTATATCAATAAAAGTAAATAATTCCTCTAACATAGCTAGCTAATATGACTAATTACATACTACTGCCTGTCAGGATTTCATGTGCCTACTCGAAAAATGAAAATATATGATCAAATCCAATTACGAATGTTTTTTGTTTGATAGCACGAATTATTTAATTCCAATGTGACATGACCGCATAAAAATTAATTATACAGCAACATAAGGATAAGACTGAGTAAGAGAGAGAATGTTAAATATAATACCAAGACAGTAGCCTTTATGGTAACTCGATCAATCGATAGACCTGCAGCCACGTTTTCTTTCTGAACTGAAAGCAAAACGTCCACAATGTCCTTTTCATCCTCGCTCTTGATTTGAACATCATCCATGTGCTCTTGCACAACTGTATCTAAAAACTTGTCGAACCGTTTATAGGAATTCTAGTTCAGCGTCCAAACCATTGAGACGTGTGAACCAAGCAAGCCATTGAATATAGTCTCCAATATTCACACGTCTAATTAACTCTGTCAGATCCATGGAAATCTCTTTAAACAGCCACCCTGCTTCGTCATCATTGTTGTACTTCCTCCCCACAGCCACTCTACAAATAACATCTCGAATAAGCGCCCCAAATAGTTCAGTTATGTTGAAGAGGAGGAGGAGGAGCCCTACGACTTAAATACCACCACACTATTTCTGGTGTTGCTGATGTGGGATCATAACATTACAACACCCTTCAGAAGACCCGACACTCACAGCGGCTCTTACTCTTGTGGCTTTCACTTTTAACGGCGGCGCACCCTTGGGTCATCCGGTTAAGATAGCATTTTCCAGGTCGTCCGCTCGTCAGCGTCAGGAACCTAGTTTTGATACCAATATTAGGTACTCAAGCCCAAGGAAGAGCCCAACCCAAAAGTTTCGCTCTTTTCGTAGGGTGAGAGAATAGGAAACCAAATCCATGATGAACGACATACTTAATCAGTGCTCCTCCTCCTCCTGCTCCTCAACATCAGTCGTGGATTTAACTGAACTATTTGGGGCGCTTATTCGAGATGTTATTTGTAGAGTGGCTATGGGGAGGAAGTACAACGATGATGACGAAGCAGGGAGGCTGTTTAAAGAGATTTCCATGGATCTCAGAGTTAATTGTATTACTTTTTTCTCCTCTTTTTATTTATTATATGTGAGAAGACTTCACAAGTGGCTTGTCAAATAATTAAAAAAAAAAGTCTTTAGAAATTTAGAGGAGTAGCGACAGTCCATTGCAAAGGGCTTTGTGGACATTGAGCCTAATTCTTGACAGGTATCAGATCTAAAGCCAGCTCTAAAGAGCACAATAATCTAAGGGTAATTTGATACTGGCGAAAGGAAATTAGGCAAGAGCACTAACAAAAGGGAAATATGGTGTTTATGTTCAAGTTAATGGGTTTGAAGAGAAGAATTTTGTGCATTCATACATATCATTTTTCTAATGTGCTTTAACTACATAAAAATAATATACTCATGATTATATATATTAAGGTATAATGTCCCTACTGATCTTTATACTCACCCTAATTAAATTGGTGCAGATTCGAAACCAAAGAATTAAGTCTTGTGTTAGAGATGATACTTACTGTATGCTATGTGTAAATATAAATAAAATAAAGATCTTGGTAGTGTTAGTTCTTTGTTTGAATAAGGAACAAGAAGCTTTATGTAACTTTATTTAAAGTATGCTTTGTAAAACTTATTTGGTGAATAAATGTGAACTATGTTTGAACAGGTTTGATAAATGTGCAGAAAGTATTATATTAGTAATTTGAAGAGTTATCTTGACATATGTCTCCGACCGTGATCGGCAGCTAATATATTATACTATTGGTATCACCACTGTAATAAATGAGTCCAATTCGTACACGGCAGGAAAAAAAATTCAGAAATCAACAAGACCAAGTAATTTAAATAGAGTAATGTTATTTAGAGACGTAATATTAGCACACTTGCCGAAACAATTTTTTATACAAGTGAATCCTATGTTAGTTAAACTTACACTTTCGTTTTTGTACACGCACATTGAACGTTACCCATGATGCTTGTTGATACTTCTGTTCTTTTTTTTTTTTTTTTTGTATTTTTTTTGGACTACATCGATATTTTTACACTAAAATGAGAGGAGTTTGACTAAGCCACGTAATGACAGCTAAATTTGGTGTCGAATTCGTCATCTACGAGATTCAAATCTAAAATCTCTCACTTCTAAACGAAAAGAAATCCTACCAAACACTAGTACTGAGTGGCATACTAACACTATACAAGAATTTCCCAACCATTAGCTAGGTCTCCTGCATTATTATGAAGATAATTATTAATTACCTCTATACATATAGCTCCTTCATACGTTATTGGATTTGAAGTTTGTGTTATATTTCGGAGAAATGATTTTTACACCCCAATTAGAGAAAGTAGTATAAAAAAAATTACTTACTATGAACACTCTTTCATTATATTTCGGAGAAATGATTTTTACACCCCAATTATCCCTGGGGGTTCGCTTTTTTTTTTTTTTTTTTTTCTCTAATACATGTGTTGAATAAAATATTATTAACTGAAAGACTTTTACATGGTAGCCGAGAAGAAAGACGTTTGCATGGCGGCCGAGACAAAAGAAGTTCCCCGGCATATCAAAAGATATATTAATTTTTGTTACTAAAACAAGTCAATAACGTATACGTATAAAGTATATGCATCATTGTTGCATTAACATAATCTTCCAGTCAGAGAAAGAAGGCATGTTGCTTCTGGTATTGGATATTGAATATTGATCGTTAAATGAAGCAATGACGAAAGCCTCTTGTATTTCGTCATTGCTTCATGGCAAACACCAAAGTGAAAGAAATACTTTGTAAAAGCAAAAAATATAGTGACAAAAAGATCAAGTAAAAGAAACCCTACATTATAATTACATACAACTCTATCAGAGATAGCAAAGGATAGATGAACAGAATCATGTATACACAGCGGTAACACGTTCGGTGGAAGGGAAACACATTCTGCAGCGGCATACAAATGCCGGCCATCCTAAGAACAACAGTGATCAAAAGCGTTCCATTGAATGAAACTATAGGGCTGCGTGCTATGCATCATGAATCTATTAAAAGAAAAATACAAGCTGGTAAAGTCTACTGCTACCTCTGTATCTTTATTTTCTATACTCAGTGCCAGGCAGAAGCCGATACTAAGTTCCTGTCCTTCCATCCCAAGAGCATAGCGCCGTCCCTCTCCACCAGTGTATAATGCTCCGAGTAACACCTCAGCAGACTCCTAATGACAGAGTTTACATATGAGCTCAACGGGTATTGCCGAAATCCTGCCATTGTCAACCTGGACTTCCACTTGCCAAAGAGCTCGTGGCGTTCCACCCTCTGCTTCCCCTCGCAAGCAATGACATTCACAATATCTCTCGCCAAGCAATGCTGCTCCACATTGATTCTCTCCTTGCTGCTCCTTGGCATGGCCACGTCAATAGACTCGAACATCGCCATGTAGTATTCAAGAGCTTCCACAAACCTATTGAAGAAAGGGGTTGTGTTTGTGTTTGATTCTTGCTCCACCAAAGTGGTTACCTTTGGATTCAGAGACCTCACTGTTCTTAGCAGCCCATCCCTTGGATTGTTCTCATCAACGCTCTCATCTGGTGTGTGATGAAGCTGCAGAGGGAAGTTCACAGCAAGAGCCTCTCCGGGCCTGACATCAAGCATGTCCCGTGTGACATTGGGTGAGAATACTGGAACTCCATGAAATTCAACTGGGATGTTAAATTTGTCAGAGATGGCTTTCAACCGTCTCCCTACTGCCTCCAACCCATCACCACGGGCATGTTTAGAACGAGGATCATCGATACCTGTAATTCGTACATGGGGAGCCCCACCGGGTCTTGCTGCAAGTGCTTGAAGGAGAGTGACCCACTGACTTCCCTGGGCAATCTGGAAGTCTATAATGTGGATGCGGTCCTCATTTCTGCATGCCTCAGCAATGGCCCCATTGGCTGCCATGTAACCAAACTTTAAGTATGGGCATATCTCAAACAGAATCTGCATGTAGGACAGCAATTCGTTGCTCTCAGGCTCTCTACACCTAAGGGCATGGTAAATATTGGCACCCGATATCTCCTTCCTTGCTATCAGCCCTTCTACCAAGTAAGCTCCAAGTCGCTGGATTGGTTCTCCACTGATAGACACAGCTCCTCTAGCCTTTTCAATCAACTTTTCAAAACCATCCATGTCGTTGTTGGAGAGAGCTCCAGCACATGCAACCAGCAATTGCTTCAGATTACCTGCTGGCAAACCCTTTAGAGATGCATCATCTATCACTTTATGACGTTTCTCAATCTGAACTTCACCCAACTGCCTTTGCCTAGAAACAAAGGATGTCTGGCGTTGAACTGCTTGTGAAACCTGGTGCTCCTGGATCCATGACATGGACCTCTGCATCTGCCTTCTGCTACTTTCTCCAATATAAGTGTTTGGTGTGCTGACTGCTTCTTCCTCGTCATCAGGCCCCATTAAAGCACTCTCCAATTCTTGCAAAGTTTGTTTTATATTCTGGTTACTATTTGCATCCTTTAAGGCAGAAGTGCTACCAGAATAGACCTGCAGACCGTCTCGACTACAGTCCACCGAAGGGCTTAATCTTAACTGATGGACGTAACTGTTTGTTTCAAATGAAGAGGTACAGGAGGGGGTGACTCCTGAGAGATTCTCGGAGGAGCTGCGCTCCTCCTGACTGTCGCTCAGTGTCGTAAGAGAGTCGGAATCAAAGTGAGTCAAAAAGGGTGAATTTGGTGAGTTGCTAGTATCAAATTTCAATGACCCAAGTAACCTTTTCCGTAAAGATGGAACAGTGGGAAGTGGAGCTGTATATGAGAATCCTGCACCAGTCGCACCAAATCCAAAATGCTGGTCCATGCTACGAGATTGGCATCAGCTATTCCATGTGAAGAAATCCGACCGTACAGCTTATCAACTAGAATAGGGTCAAGCTTTGTGCTTTCCCCAGAAACACTCTTGGCAATCCTTGTGAACTTTCAAGATAACAGAATAAACCTGCAATATTGATACAGAAAAAGGCCCATTAACTAGACATTCCGAGGGAAAAATTGCAGATAACCGAACCTTGAAAAGCAGAAATTATAACCAACCCACAATCTTTCTTTGCCTAAATGTTTTATCGAATCAATAAACATCGAGAAAAGTTTTAAATCTTAAACGGACTTAAATCAGAATAAAGAGTACTTGAGCTACCCTTTGGAAGCATAGGAAGCAACGAAATGGGCCGCTTCGATCGATAGAATGGAATATTACTTCAGCAAGTGATATCTCGTCTAAGAAGTCCAGGTCTTCCTACCCTTCGACAAAAGAATCCCGAAGAAGGCAAAGGCCTCCAATTTTCCTAAAGCATCACTAGTCCCTCTATCGATTGGTTAGTCAGGAACAGATAACCAAATGGAGATTGATTCAAACTGGGCGAGACTAATCGGCCTCATCAATCGAAAAACAGAAGATCAATTGACCCGACACCAGGAGAACACAGTTTATAAAATTATACAATTGACAAACTATGTTAAGGTATACAATTTATAAAATTTAACTTCCATGTGAATAAATTAGGAGTAATTTTCCATTTAGGACCAAAAAACCAATATCAAAAACAGTTGAACGATTTTACAAAACCCAACACTTCAATTCACAAAACGCTCCAAACCCACTCACCCTCTGTTTGTTTCCCGAGAAAGTGATAGAAAACAGAAGAAAATAAGAAAATCCCAAGATTTCCTCGCTCTATGCGCCACCAATCAACCTACACGCTCCAATCAAAGAAGCCCAATACGAGCTACAACCTCAGATTTTCCCTTTTAGCAAAAAATTATACCTAAACAAATCAATTCAAACATATACATATCTACGAGCAAGCTAATTTGTACGAACAAATACCTGTATTTTCTCTTCTGGGCCTTCTGGGTCGTATGGGTCGTCTGCGTCTTTAGCTTAGACAGCAAGTTTTGGTAGTGGGTAAGCTCTGGTTCGGTACATGAATCAGTTTCGGTCAAGTTGTGGGAGCTCTGAATTCGCTGAGTTTTCGAAAGTAGTAGATGCTAGGCTTCCAAGGTATATATAGCAGAGAGAGCGAGGAGAGAGAAAGAGAGGGGGTTTGACTCTTTGACGGCGAGTTTGTACG